GGCGGGCGGCCGCGGCGGTTTCCAGCCGCACCCGGGGCTGCAGAAGACGCTGGAGCAGTTCCACCTGAGCTCTATGAGCTCGCTGGGCGGCCCGGCCGCCTTCTCGGCGCGCTGGGCGCAGGAGGCCTACAAGAAGGAGAGCGCCAAGGAGGCAAGCGCGGCTGCGGTGCCGGCGCCGGTGCCCGCGGCCGCGGAGCCGCCGCCCGTGCTGCACCTGCCAGCCATCCAGCCGCCGCCGCCGGTGCTCCCCGGGCCTTTCTTCATGCCATCCGACCGTTCCACCGAGCGCTGCGAGACCGTGCTGGAGGGCGAGACCATCTCGTGCTTCGTGGTGGGCGGCGAGAAGCGCCTGTGCCTGCCGCAGATCCTCAACTCGGTGCTGCGCGACTTCTCGCTGCAGCAGATCAACTCGGTGTGCGACGAGCTGCACATCTATTGCTCGCGCTGCACGGCGGACCAGCTGGAGATCCTCAAAGTCATGGGCATCCTGCCCTTCTCGGCGCCCTCGTGCGGGCTCATCACCAAGACGGACGCCGAGCGCCTGTGCAACGCGCTGCTGTACGGCGGCGCCTACCCGCCGCCCTGCAAGAAGGAGCTGGCCGCCAGTCTGGCGCTGGGCCTGGAGCTCAGCGAGCGCAGCGTGCGTGTGTACCACGAGTGCTTCGGCAAGTGCAAGGGGCTGCTGGTGCCCGAGCTCTACAGCAGCCCGAGCGCCGCCTGCATCCAGTGCCTCGACTGCCGCCTCATGTACCCGCCGCACAAGTTCGTGGTGCACTCACACAAGGCGCTGGAGAACCGGACCTGCCACTGGGGCTTCGACTCGGCCAACTGGCGGGCCTACATCCTGCTGAGCCAGGACTACACGGGCAAGGAGGAGCAGGCGCGCCTCGGCCGCTGCCTGGACGACGTGAAGGAGAAGTTTGACTATGGCAACAAGTACAAGCGGCGGGTGCCCCGGGTGAGTGTCCCTGCTGGCCGTGGGAGGAGGCTGGGTGTGCTGGGCCCCAGGGCCTGGAAGCTGGGAGGGCCGGGGAAAGGCTGGGGGGCCGTCCCGGGGCCAGGCAGGGGCTCTGTCCCTGCAGGCCGGGACTTGTCTTAGGGTTTGTTTTTGAGGAAATTCAGGGTGGCGTCAGCGTCCCCATCGACGGCTGCGTAGGAAGGTCCTCCGGCTCGATCCCCATGATGAGCCGGCTTGCTAGGGGTGGGGGTGGGGGGTCCTCGTGTTCTGCGGCCTGGCGGGCACAGAAGCCATCGCTCAGATGGGCTGCGAAGGGCAGGCTTCAGGACTCAGATGCTCTCGTCCCGAGTCCTGGGAAGTTAGATGTGGGCCGAGCCCAGGCTGCAGCCTCAGGCCCTGGGGCCTGCCTTGGGGCCCTGAGGAGGTGTCCAGACCGAGTGGGCTCCCAGGCTCGCAGACAGAGAGGGCTGCCTGCCCATGGACCTCAGCAGACAGAACTGGGCCAGGCAGCGCCTGTTTGTGCCTTGAAGTCTTGGGAGACAGACTCAGAAACGAAGCCAGGTGTCCGGGCCGCGGTGGCAGGGGGCCGAGACACGGCGACTCCAGCTCTGTGCGTCTCCGTGGGCCTGCCAGGGTGCGAATCCTTGAGTCCCCCGTGTGGCGGCAAGGGCCACTTGGCCCTGGGCTTGGGGCCCTGGTCAGTGGGCACCTGGGGCCCTGAGTAGGAGTAGCTCGTGGCCTGCGATTTGTTTTGGACACGCCTGGTTCCTTGTCTCCCTCTCCCTGAAACGCTGAAGGGCGGGGGAGGCCACTGGTTGAGGCTCTGTTGTCTGCCCGGCGGAGGATCTCTGATCCGGCCGGGCAGCTTCTGGGCCACTGGACGCCAGAACCATTCACTGGGGTCCTCATCAGCTCTTCATGCTGCCTTCCCCTCCCCAAGCGTTTGTAACTTTTCTTTTAAATATCCAGGCTTATTAAGCTGCACGCTCGGAATGCTGCACTGGCTTAGCTATTCTTAGGAGGCCTAATTAATTCAGCTATTGCATCAAACTTTTCTTTTTCTAAATCTGTGAATAGATGCTCCCGCCCGGTTTTCTCTGGGCGCCCCTCCAGCGCAGTGTCAGAGTCTCGGTGAGCAGAGGAGGGGCTAGGGATGTAGGGGCCTGTTTGCCTGTGCTTGGGGAGAGGGCTGCCGTGTGCGCGCGCACACGTGCACGAGCGTTCGGTGGCATTTCTGCCCTCAGCTATGCCGGTGCCCAGGTGGCAGCCGTCCGCTGACTGTAGGGCAGGGGTTGTGCACGAGGGATGCTTGGAGTCGGGGAGGATGCTGGCAGGAAAGGCCGGCCCGAGCCCTCGATTTCAGATGAGTCTGTGATGGGCGGCGTGATAAGCACCCCGTGTGAACTGGGGGCTTTTCTGTTTGGGGCGCCCGCTCCTTCCACCGCCGGTGTGGCCTAGGGGAGTCCTGTGTGCAGGGCTGTGGTAGGTGCGGGCTGTAGCCGGTGGGTGAGGCCGTGGCAGGTCCCCCACCCCCAGAGCAGGTGGCAGAGGGCCTTGTCCGGCGGGGTGTGCCTGTGTTGGTGTCCAAGTTGTGGGGTGGGGGCTCGCCGGGGCTGGCCTTTTGTCACAGCTACAGTCCTGGTCCCGGGGTCCCTTGTAGCAGGCCCTGTGCTCCTGGGCGCGGCCGTCCCCAGGCTCGGGGAAGGCCCAGCCTGGGCTCCCGGGCCGGAGCGCTGCCTGGGGAGGAGGCAGGACTGTTTCCTGGCGCCACCGTCCGTGGAGCTGAGGCCAGACCCCGTTTCTGCTCTGGCCTTTTCGACAGATGACCAGCGCCCTGTCTCCTTCCGTGCTTTCCCCCATGCTGCTTTAAATTTTACGTACCGATTAAACGGAAATTTCCCAGGATGAGGAGGACGCGCTTATCGTAAGCGGGTGGGGTCTCCAGGTCAGTGTCAGCCCCCGCTGTCCCGTGTGGTGGTGGCCTGGGCGTCTGCCCACGAGCTCTCGTGCCGACTCTGCCACCTCGTGGGGTGCTCTTCCTGCTGGCTTTTTCTGCCTGTCCTGTTCTTGGGGCTCTGCCTGCTGTCTTGGCTCTGTGACCACGCAGTTGGGAGTCCTGGGGTGTGTCGTTCTCTTTAAATCCCTTAGCAGAGCCATGTGCTCGTCTGTCTGCGTGCCGAGGGCACCACGTGAGGAGGAAGGTCTCGGCCTCAGGGAGGGATGGGACCCCCCCCAGCTGCCTAGACCCCACTTGCTATGGAAGGAGCTGCCTGGGAAGAGCCCCCCCCCCCCCCCCCCCCCCCCGTGCCCCGCCTATCTCTGATCGCTCCTTCCGGTCGCCTCTGATGGCTTATTTGTGGAATATATTTTGATTTCTTCAATTACTTTATAGCTTAGTTTAATATTTTTGACTTAGCAGGGTTGAGGACAGCAGGGAACAAAGAATGTGCTAGAATTCCTCTCTGTAGGGGACATGACTCCCCTGGGGCCTTGGGTTCTGGTGAGGCGGTGGGAGCTGAGCACGTTCCCGTGTTGTGGGGCTCGAGCCGCCCAGCTCTCCTGCCAGCCGGAGACTCGGCACCGTTCGCGCTCAGTGCCAGGAGGGCCGCTGGTCTCTGGGGGTCTCGGAGACCCGCTCACCTTTGCCCACCTGCTTTGCCTGTGGCCGTGGCCGTGGTGGGTTGTCTGTGGTTGCCCCAGTGTGGAAATGAGCGTGGGGTGGGGCTCCGACCTCGAACCCGGAAACCCTGTGAAGGCGGCCTGTCTGCGAGTGTGGGTTGGCAGGCCTCCTTAGGGATGCCCCCTCACGTCACGGGGGCCTGCAGGAAGTGCTGTCGGCCGTGCTGGGGCCGTGGGGAGCCGTCTCCCAGCCTCTCCCCCCTCCCCCACCCACGGGGTGCTGCCCTGGGCGCCCTGTGGTAGGCTAGCCCAGCTGCGGGACCCCAGGGGATGGCTCCCACGTCCTCATTGCGTCCCTCCTGCTATGTGACCTCGAGCCAGTTGGCCTAACCTGTGTGGGTCTCCGTTTTCTCGTGTGTGAGATGGGGACCGTAGCAAGTGGTGACCGGTGATGTTTTATTTCTCTAGGGTGTTTAGGTGTCCGGTGGGGGTGGGGTGGGGGTGGGGACACGTCATGTGTGGAGGAACACATGGCAGGGAGATGGGGACCGTGGTGCCCTTTCTACCCCTGCCCTCCTCTTCTGCCCGACTGGCTCTGTCCCTTCCTCTTGGGCTTGTCTGATGGTGTCTGCGCTGAATTGGCCTGGTTGTTTAGCAGCGTAGGTTGCTGTCACCGAGGAGGACGTGGGTGCTGCCGGCTCAGCTGCTGCTGGGGGCCTGGCCTCTTGGCCCGCAGGAGGCCTCCTCGCGGGGTAACCAGGGCCGACCGCGGGACGGGGCGCTGCCTCCCTGGGGCCCCGGGCAGGGTTGGGGCTCCTCGGAGATGCTCTTCGTTCTTCCGGGGGTCCCGATTCCCAGATCGGAGAGCCTGGCTTGTGCGGATCGTCCATTCGTCCTTCAGACCGCCGTCAGAAGGGTCCTTTTGTAGCCTTGCTCTTGTCATGCGGCTCATTGTGCTCCAGGGGCCTGCAGGCCGATGGCCCCTTGGCGTGTGGCGTGAGGGTCCGCGACTGCATGTGTGTGGATTCCTGACGTTGGGACAGGTTTTCTCGTGTCACCTGCAACTTCTCCCTGGTCGGAGGGCAGGCTTCCTCAGAGCAGGGACCGGCCGGCAGCCCTGGGGGTGCTGAGTCTTGTGGCCTGTCTTGGGGAGTGACGGCACCTCTTGGGTCCACAGGCTGGGAAGGGGGTCTTGGTCTGTGGACTCTCCCCTGGAGAGGTGTGTCTGGTCTTATTTAAGCTGATGTTATCATGGGAAGGAACAGTGTGAAGAGGGTGCTGCCAGGCTGGAACAGACTCCGACCCGCGCGCTTCCTTGGGGCCCCCTCTTGAATGGGGTGCTGTCCTTTGGATGCCGTCTGCTGTGTGGGCAGAGACTTAGCGACGGAGTCGTCTCTTTGTGCACTCGTTTTGCTGTAGGTTTTTGTGGGGTTCCATGGTGATTTCCTGGCTGCAGACGTGTGGTTGAGAAGGTGGGTGCCGGCTTAGGTGACGCCCTGGTCGGGCCTTGGCCACCCCCTCCCACCCGTGCGGAAGGACAGGGTGTGCCAGAATGAAGGCTGGGGAGTCTTCTCCGGTGGGGGACGTGGCAGCTCAAACGAGCTCTGCTTCCCCCCCATGCCGTGGAATTGGCCGTGCGGGAGCGGGGGGCCGCTGAATGGCTGGCCGGGTGCCTCGGCCCGTCTGAGTGAGCAGAGGCATGTCTAGATGGTTCTCCAGGTGTGGTCTGTCCGCCTGTCTGTCTGCCATCCTGCCAGTTTCCAGCTGGGCCAGACCCCCTAGCTTCTGGGGTCTCCCCAGGGCAGCAGCTCGCCTGGGGCAGCGGGGTCATTGAGTGACCTTTGCCTCTGTCCCTGCTGTCTCACTGGGGTCTGTCCGTCCGTCCGTCCGTCAGCTGGGGCTATGAGAGTAGGGTCATTGACTCTTGGCGTCTCGGTTTCTCAACCTTCCCCGCAGCCGGTTTGTGTAATGTCTGTCTGAGGTGCCGGGTGAGGGCAGACAGGCCTGCGCTGGAGGAAGTCTGGGGGACTGTGGCCGAGCCGCACCCCGCACCCCTGGCCGCCGGGGAGCGGGGGGGGGGGCTGGGGGAGGCCGTGCTTCCGGGGCCGGCCCTGGCCGTCTGGCGGGAGGTGACCGCGGGAGGTGGCCCAGGCCGGCGGCCGGCAGCCGGACTCTTCACGGAGGCCCCGGAGACTGTTACACAAGCACCAATAATGTGTCTCTTTCTAAGGATTGCGAAAGTCAGGGAGGATTTCTCCACTGGAGGAATTATGCAAGTTTCAACTGAAATGTTTTTAAAAAGTTTCTTTGTTTTGAGTCAAAATATAGAGGCTGAATTATTTCCTTAAGGTCCGTGAGAGCTGCAGGGGGAGGAGAAGGCCTCCGTTCTTGCCCCAGCCCTTGCCCTCCTGGCTCGCTGTCCCTGGGGAAATGGGGAACCAGGCGGAGTTGGGACGGAGCCGGGGCGTGGCCTGGGGACCATGCCCATTGCTCCCCGCTTTCTGTTTATTGACCATCTCAGA